TATACAATACAAAATAGGAGCAAAGCAAACACGGACCTCCAAACATCAGAGGTGGGATCAGGTGCCATGGAGGAGTGAGCATCCCCTGCCGACCGGTCACACCCGCCGTGTGCTCCTTGTCATGATCGGGAAATAACGGAAAAATCCGTCGACAATTCAGTGTGTAAATAATGGTCTAACAATTAGTATGAAAAACGTCAGTCAGCATTTGACTCAATGATAAATTGTATTTGCTGACAAGGTCATTGTATCGACCATAGAACTTACGAAATGATGAATCTAAACGAGACAGCTGATATTCTTGTTTCATCAACTCATTTATCAATAATTTACCTCGTTTTAGAAATCGTACATACGTAGAGCATGCTCTTGCGTATCGAATCAACTGAGAGATATATACCCCGTATGCAGGTGATGAAGGTATATTGCTGCATAAGTAAGGGAAGTTGACGATTGAAAAGTTAAAGTCATCACGTTTATCATAAAGCTTGGTTGTTAGATTACCATTAACGTCTTTTTCAAGTAAAATATCCAAATACGAAACAGATGTGTCGGACTCTGTGGTATCTTTTATCTCAAGTTCACCAGGATATATCATATCGACATAAGAATGAAAATAGCCATTGTTAATTGACAATACGTCGTCGATATATCTAAATGTCGAGTTGAACGCCACAGCAAGTGTTTTCTTCTTTTCACGTACAAGATTTTGGACAAATTCTGCTTCATATGAATACAAAAAAGGTCTGCTAATAACGGGGCGCAATTGGTACCCATAGAAATTCCAATAGATTGTTGGAAGACCTGGTCTCCAAAAACCACATAGATATTGTCAATCAGAAACTCAAGCATCTTTTTAATGTCAATTTCAGAGTACTTGTGTGTACAATCAGAATGTTTTTTAACAAAATAATTTTGCAAATGACCAATGACAAGGTAAGTATATTTACGAGTTCCATTTTTATTGAAAAAGCAGCTGTCAATGATATCAAAAAGCCTGGACTTTAATTTATCGTGGGGAATGGTTGTGTATAAAGTTGAAAAGTCGTAAGTTTTTAAGCTGTTGATTCTGGTAAAATCTTGGCAGGACACTCACACCACTTTTTGGGACTGGGGCCGGAGCCGTTCAAATTGGGAAAATTTTTGTCATTTTGAGGAAAATTGGGAAAACCTCGTTCCTTATCGAAGCCGATCCAGCTAAAGAATATAGGTAGCATGCATTAATTTATACAGTCTAACACAGAACTAGTTTGTTTTACTTTCACTTTTGGCGATTAAGTCTCATTGATTAAGATTTTTAAAAAAAATATTTTGCTATAAAAAAAATTTGGAAATTTACACTTTGCTTTTGGGAAAAAAGGTACCTTTTTTGCATAGGGAATGGGGCCGTTTAACGGCCCCAATTATAGAGAATCGAGAGCCCTGTCTTCTGATTTCAATTTTTAAGTATCCACATCTGATTTACACCACTTCTCGAATATATTGTTGCACAGTACTCTTGAAGTTTCTCCTTCACCACTGTTAATATCTTGGTGAGGAGTAAAGATAGAGGCTTGGTTGAACATTTACTGGAACCCGCTATGTATCTTTGTTTGTAAGGATTTTTATGAAGTTTCGGAATCCAATATAAATATGGCAATTCGAATTCGAATTCATTTTGGTTGTTTGGAATATTAAAACTATTCAAAACTGACATATGATTTTGAAGAATTTCTTCCTTAGAAAGGGAACTATGAGTATAAGTTGGATTACCACTTGTAGAATTAAATCCAAGTTCCTCTAAAATACATTTAATATAATGAGCCTTACAAACAAAGACAATGTTGTTACCTGCTTTGTCAGCAGGGACCAGTACGTACTGATCATGTAATCTATCTAATTCTTTTTTCACTTCTGGATTATTGAATATAGAAGGATAGATGGTTTTCATATTGCCTCTCAATCTTTTAATGCGCGATTTTAACATACATCTGATACATTAAATCCATTCTGACAAAGTGTCAAGGTCTTCTTTTTCATGTCTGGCCCATCGCCTGGCGTAGTCCTCTACAGAATCCATAATATTTATGAAATTCTTACGCTTGTTGAAGGATCTGAGTTCCCTAAATTTTGGACCTTTTACAATTAGTGATCTAAGATCCTCATTATTATCTATATTTACGTCACCAGTAATAACGTGTCCAGCAGGACTATAGTTATAGGGCGAAGAAGAACATGAACACGATGGAGGATTATGTTTCAGATATTCGATATCCAGGCCCTGTAAAGTTTTCTTGTAATTAAAAAGTTTGGAAGCAATAGTCGATGTATATTTGTAGGAAATACAAGGTACATGTAGCGTGTTCAAAGAATTTTACAGGAATTTCTATTTTCAGTAACTATGGCAAAACCTAAATCAAAAACTGATATATAAAATTATGTATTTTAGTCTGTTCAACTTATATGAATCAACCAAATCTGTAAGAGGATTAGCATTTTGAAAGAAATTCACAAAAAAATATATTTCTAGTAACCAAGGCAATACCCTTCATCGAAATCCATAAAAAAATATATAGAATTGTGCATCAAAGTGTAGTCTACTTGACTGTGTACCAAGTTATATTGAAATTGGACAAAAATTGTAGGATCAACGTTTTAAAATAATTTCAAAGAAATTTTAAGTAATAATGACAACACTTTCTGTCAAAACCTATGAACAGAATTATGTATCTTTAGTTAGTATAAATGTGTGTGTAGACGTTTTATTTAAATTAAACCATAATTATAAGAGGTTTAGCATTTTGAGAAATTCTATTTTTCGTAACCATGGAAAGATCGTTTGTTGCAATAAGAATTTTGTATCTTGTGTACCAAGTCTTACTGAAGTTGCACCAAAACTGTAGGAGGAATAGCATTTTGAAAATTGTCTATAGACAGAAAGATAAACGAACGGATACCTTACCAATGCGTAAGCTCTTCTGGTTTCTGACCAGTGGAGCTAAAAAGCTATATATGATGCTCTTAGCTCCACTTAGATTCTCTGCCATATCTTTGCGGATAAAAGAGATTTTTAAGAACATAATGCACCTTCATTGTGCCCAAATAAGTTTCAAATTGGGTACCTGAACCAATGACCAAGTGGATATGAAATAAAATACGATTTCGGTAGATAGACTCATTTGTCAGAATGATCAGCCGCCCGCGTGGCGCAGTTGTTAGAGCGTTTGCTCTAGAGTCGCGGCGTAAGGATCTGATCCTTACGTCTCTGCTCAAAGGCCGTAATTGCCGAGTATATGTCTAAAATTGCAGTCCTCCACCGGCAAGTGGTGGGTCTCGATATTAGTGAAAAATTCTCGAAAGGACGTTAAACAAGGACATAAGCAAACAAACAGAATAATCATGGGCAAAGTTAGTTTGCTATATGCCCAGAAGTAAAGGAGATTAGAGTTTTGATGGCTTTAGCTCTACACATCGAAGGAGACAATAGCAATGACCCCCATTATGTCATATACCGAAAGAAGATGTGTTTTTGCAACACTGATAGCTCATTGCTAGGCTTAAAGTTTCACAAATGCAAGTCAAACTCCAAGGTGAAGAAATAAAAAATGTTGGTACCCAAAGAAAGTTTCTGTCACCAGGAGTATATACATGTGAAATATGAACGCCCTTGCACCAACCATTCAGAAATTATGGTCAAGGTTAAAGTTTTTCAAAAGTAGGTCAAACTTCAGGTGAAGTCATGAGGTCATAAATGTTGGTATGCAAGGTAAAGTCTTGTCACAAGGAATACACAGGTAAAATCCACCTGTTCAACAGTTTTGACCAAGTTTAAAGTATTTTAGGTCACCAGAGTCACTCAGGTGACCTATTGCTATCCGTTTTTGTCCGTCGTCCTGCGTTAACATTTGGACATTTTTCAACTTCTTTTCTGGAACCGCTATTGATTATATAGTGAAAATGCATAAATTCTTTAAAATCTTCTCTGCTCCTGGATATTAATCAAACTAAGTAAGTATATAGTTATGACGAGCAACAGTGCTTCTTGCAAAATTGTGAATTTTATGGCCCCCTGGTCCGGGGGTTCTGGTATAAGGATGGTGCTCTAATGATTATATAGTGAAGATGCATTAATTCTTTGAAAATCTTCTTCTCTGCTCCTGGTTATTATTTAAATAAACTTAGTGCATGATAATGATAAGCAAGGATGCCTCTTCCAAAATTGTGAAATTCATGATCCCAGGGTTCTGGTCAAGAAAGGGGGGGAGGTATTGATTATATAGTGCAAATGCATCATTCTTTAAAAATCTTCTTCTCTGCTCCTGGATATTTAAAAAAACTAAGTACATTGTTATGACAAGCAAGTGTGCTTCTTCCAGAATTGCGAGTTTCATGGCCCTGGGTCAAATGTTCTGGTATAAGGGTGGACTCTTTTGAATATATAGGTGTTGAGCAGATAAACATAGTGCAAATATATGATGAAGAAGGGTGCTTCTAACAATTTTTTTTTAAACTTGTGGTCCCAGGGTAAGGAGTTCTAGTGTTTCTCAAGGGGGGGGGGGGTGTTGATTATATAGTGAAAATGTGTCAATTCTTTGAAAATCTTCCAGTAAGTGCATAGTTATGATGATTAGGGTACCTCTTCCAAATTCGTAAATTTCCTCATCCTGAGTCTTGGGTTCTGGTGTTAGGGTAGAGCCGTGTTGAATCTGTAGTGAAAATACATTATTTCTTTGAAATATTTCTGCTCCTGGACATATCAGAGGGAGAATAATAGTTTCAATAAGCAAGGGTATTTCACCAGATTTTTGAACATCTGGACTATTTGGCCAAGTGTTCTGGTCCTGACCAGGGTTCTATTAATTTGTATTCTACCGAGAGAAGTTGTCTCCCTTTGCCATTCACTTTTGATAATGGATCACTGTAAATAATGTATTTGAAAAGTTAATAGAATAAGAGAATTATGTAAGAATTTTTATTGTATAATATATAAAATACTTTCATAGTTTTAATGATCAGATAAACTTGTAAATAATAGATAAATAAAAATAAGACAAAAATAACTTATTGAATGTTCTTCAAAAATCAAGGAAGGCCAATGCGAGAGGTTTTAACATCGGGTTTAAATAGTAAAGAAGCACTTATAGTTTGTTATAGTCTGCATTGTGATAGTGATAAATGGGGGACAGATTAAAAAACTTAATTTGTGAGTTGTTACTAAATGCTAGACTAATTAATTTGTTGATCCTGATCATCCTATTTCTCTTCTTTTGGGTAACAAAGCTTTATCTGTCAGTTTATTTTATACTCTATGGATCCTCTAAATTGTTGTATTATATTCAGGTGACCGTCAAGGCCCTTGGGTCTCTTCTTCAGAAATAGGACAAACTCCAAGGTTAGAGTCAAAAATGTTATTATCCAGAGGAAGGTCTTGTTGCAAGTAATACGGAAGTAGAATATGAAAACTATAGTGCCAACTGTTCCAAGGTTATGACTAAGGTTAAAAGTTTTTCAAAAGTAGGTCATACTCAAGGTCAAATGGTCATAAATATTGGAATTCAATGAAAGGTATCGTCACAAAGAATACACAAATGAAATATGATAGCTCTAGCACTAACATTTTTAAAGTTATGACCATGATTAAAGCTTTTAAAAAGTAGGTCTACTTCCAAGATCAAGGTTAAAAGGTAAATAAAATATTGGTACCCAAGGAAAGGTCTTGTCACAATGAATTCACGTGAAGTAAAAAAGCCCTAGCACTAACCGTTAAAAAGATAAGGCCAAGGCTAGTGTTTTTTCCCAAAGTTACTCAAACTCCAAGGTGTAGGTGGGTACAGCCCACTAATTGTTTTCCCATAGGCGGCAATGTTAATGTTTCTTCACATATAGCATGTCCCTAATTTTCGTTCAGCATTGAGTGACCCCTCAAATCAAAGCACATCAAGTTGTCTTTCCTTGGTTAAAATCTCGAGGTGGCATGTCAGATTCGTTTTCCAGCAAAATGCGTCTGTCTGCATTAACCTCTGAAAATTAAAGTGAAAGTAGGGGAATTCTAGACTTCTCACTTGTGTTATAATACATAAAATAATTCTGCTGATCTTGATAAATTACATTTGCTAAGCCTTTTCGCAAGGAAACATACTCCTTATCAACAAGTATGAGGCTCAGTTTAATACATTATCACAGTTTTTTTTATTCAGGTCTGCAAATTAAGGAACTTGTAATTTTTTCTGCACTACTTTCTTCTCCTACCGATTCTAAAAGTAATTAGAGGTATGTACCCAATGTGAAAAAGTATTTTCTGGATTTTACAACATTTTACATCAGAAGTCGTACTACAGTCTATGTAGTGACATGCCAAATTTTAGGAAAATTCAATCATTAATAAAGATTTAACAGCATGCACAGTTCTATATGCAAAATCCTTTTTAAATGCTTCAATCTAGCCACAACTGCACCCAAATTTTAAGTCATCGTCTTTTATAACTTTAAATACATCAAGCAAAATCATAATCAAGCATTCATATGGGTCCATTTCTCTTATTTCAAAAAATTAATGCATTTTCGCACAAAATTTTATCATCCCTCACCCTTGAATTCATTGTTTCTCCATGATTGACAAAAAAATTAAGTTTACAAATACCCTGAAAGTAGTAAAACTAGAAAGTACTGATTATTTCCTGTCCATAATGTCATAATGACATCATAATAATGGATTGCTTATTACACATGTAGTGTTACTTTTCCCGGACTTTTAATTAAAGATGAAATAAGAACTAAAATATTCATTATAACAATAAAAATAATAAAAATACTTGCATGAGCAGATCAAATAGTCTACAGAAAAATTTTTGTTTCCATGGTAACCATTTTGTAATTTGTAGGAAAATGAAAGAGAACTTTGAAAATTTTGAATTTCCCTACAAGTCGCTCATTCTGAGTGACAAATATTAAAGAAATTTCAACTCTTATATTTTTTAATCTTAATATCTTATCATACACAACTCCATCTTCGCTAGCCAAGGGTTTCCGATCCGAAATCTACTCTACAACCCTTGGCAGATTTGGCTGAAAATTTTAGAACTCGCGCAAACGAATTTGATTGGCTGCGAAGTCCCAGTCTACGCAAGGTTTTTACTAATCGACGATTTTCGACTGATTTAAAGTCTGTTCGTGTTTTATGCAAAAGAAGAGTATTATTTACAAGGGATGAAAGTGACGTGATATATGCTAAAAAACAAGGGAGTAATTAATTCGAAATTTTTTCTTTTGATTCTATACGTTTTCAAGAATTATTGAAAGGACCACATAAGTCCGTGTTCCGCATTTTAGGTGCATCAATTTAAGCCAATCAAATGTCACGGCTTATTGATAATAATTGATACGGAAACATGTAGAAAGTGTTGTCAAACTCTTGACAAAAAATCACGACGAACGATATTTTCTACCACTTTTGAGGTGTGCCAACAGCTGTATGAGGTTGCTGGGTTATATTCCACATCAAATTGCATGTAGGTCGCCATATTGTTTCAAACGTCATATTGATTTACGTATGTTACAGCTATTTTCATTGGACAAATATTAAAGAGCTTCAAGGGACTTAACTCAATTACGGCGATAGGCGGCGCAATTAAAGTTCCCGTTTGATAGGACTAAATCTGCCAAGGGTTGTAGAGTAGATTTCGGATCGGAAACCCTTGCCTAGCGAAGATGACACAACTCTATAAATGTAATTGTTTTGAAATTCTTTTCAAAAAAAATTAGCTGTAAAATATATAGCATACATGTACAGACTACTTGGATGGTCACTTTCATAGCTCAAATATTCATTTAAAATCTCCATTTTCTTAGCTTTAACACCCCCCCCCCCCCCACACACATATATACAAAGAAGCTTTAGAAAATTCAACTTACATATTATAAGTACTGCCATCATTTTACATGTGAAGACTCAAGATGTGTTCAAATGAGTTTCTTTTTACTGACTGATAGTTTTAAACACCATCTGCATGAACCTCGAAGTTGTCCTGTATCACCATGAACCTAAAAAAAATCAATTTAAAAAACAGTGCAATAATTTATCAGCATCAAAAAGCACCTAAAACATTCACAGACATGCAGACAACAAACACACACAATCTTACCACATTAATTTTATGCCCATAATTTGATATCAATTGAAAATTATGAATATGCACTGATTAGTCTCAGCAGTGTTAAATTACATGTAAATTAATAATACAGGTAAAAAGCATATTTACTGACAATAATTATACATTAGACAAATACATGTAAAGCAGTTAATAAAATGTTAGTGTGCATGTTCACGCACACACTGCTTAAATTAACTTCTACACAACTGTAGCCTGACCGACTTCTTTGAAAGAATGCACATGTATGTCCTCGTTCATGTAATTCTAATCCATGAAAGTTTTCATCTACAAGTATTGTAATAAGGCATGGAAACCTTTTTTTCTTTACCTCTTTCATAAAATGAAATATCCATATCACCTACATACTGCAAGACTCTGCACTAGGTAGCACTAAGCAGTTTTGATAACTAACTGCCACTCTACTAACACTCCGACCTTGAACTTCACTGAATACCGATTCCGACCTCATTTGTGAATTTTTGTGTATTGGAAAATAAACAATAGTGGTGGATGTACTTCTAAAATAATTGTTCCTTTTCTAAATATCTATTAATGGCTCTGAATTAATAAATTGTATAAAATCGATACACTTAATTTACATGCTACATGTGTACACAATGGGAGATATGAGGCATAAGCTGTTTGTTCCTAAGGGGGGGTGGGGGTGAGGGGGGTATTAACATATCGATTTAATTGTTTCAAAATATGTATAAACAAATTAAAATTTGCTTCTTTCATAAATTTAAACAATTGGAAATGATAGTAAACACCAAGTTCAAAACAAAGTAAAGATCTATGCGAATTTTCTCTTACCAATAGGCTCCACATATTGGGTACAGCCCACTAATTGTTTTCCACTAGGCGGCAATGTTAACGTTTCTTCACATAGCAATGTCCCTAATTTTCGTTCAGCATTGAGTAACCCCTCAAATCAAAGCACATCAAGTTGTCTTTTATTGGTTAAAATCTCGAGGTGGCATGTCAGATTCGTTTTCCTGCAAAATGCGTCTGTCTGCATTAACCTCTGAAAATTAAAGTGAAAGTAGGGGAATTCTAGACTTCTCACTGGTGTTGTAATGCATAAAATAATTCTGCTGATCTTGATAAATTACATTTGCTAAGCCTTTTCGCAAGGAAACATACTCCTTATCAACAAGTATGAGGCTCAGTTTAATACATTATCACAGTTTTTTTTATTCAGGTCTGCAAATTAAGGAACTTGTAATTTTTTCTGCACTACTTTCTTCTCCTACCGATTCTAAAAATAATTAGAGCTATGCACCCAGGTCAAGAGGTTGTATATATTGGTACCCAAGGAAAGGTCTTGTCACAAAAAATATACCTAAAATATAAAAGCCCTAGCACAAACCGTTCAAAGGTTATGGTGAATGTTTAAGTTTGGTAAAAGTTTTCAAAAGTATGTAAAACTCAAAGGTCAGTCAAGAGCTAAAATTTGTTGGTACGCAAAGAAAGGTTTCGTCATAAGGAAAACATGTGAAATATAAAAAACCCTATTTCCAATCAATTTAAGGTTATGGCCAAGGTTGAAGTTTTTCCGAACAGACAAACAGATCAAAAACTGTATGCCCTAAATCTTCGATTACGGGGGCATAATTTGACGTTCCAGCGAGAAAGCTGAAAATTAATGTTTAACGAGGGACGGCGAAGGACTGAACAGCGACAGGTTCGCTAAGCAAATCATGTAACAAGAAATAAAAAGAGTATGATATCTTATTTGTTTTGTTTGTTTGTTTATTGTTTAACGTCCCTCTCGACAATTTTTCACCCATATGGAGACGCCACCACTTGCCGGTGGAGAGCTACAAATTTTGACCTTTACTCGGCACTCGGGGTCATTGAGCAGCGAAGGATCTTTTTCGTGCCAGCAATTACTGCGATACGGGACCTCGGTTTATACGGTCTCATCCGAAGGACCGGTCTCCACGTCCAGCAGTGGGATTCAAACCCGCGACGTAAGGATCAACTCTTTACTCCGCGACTCTAGAGCGAACGCTCTAACCACTGCGCCACGCGGGCGACTATGATATCTTATTTCAGGGTCGAAACAGCGCTCTCACAGGGAGTGGGACATATTTTCTACAGGTCGGAATAGGAGAATTCGTAATGATGTAAATAAGACATTTTACTGAATTGGTATTTCCGATTTTCTTGTCATGATACTGAAAATGGATCATTCGCTTGCATTTTTGACGAAAGATCATTGCAATCGCAAAAATCATTTGTCTTTCAAGATTTGATTACCGTTATGCATTGTTCAACCTACATAAAACCAATCCAGATAGTGATTGGTAATAAATTCACTTGGTTTCCATTTGCTATGAAGAAATGTAATAACTAAAGGATAAAAACGAGGTAACGAGTTTTATTTTGTTTCAAAATGCATGCAAAAGCCTAATTATAAGAAAATTGAGGATGATTTTTTATAGGTCCAATAACTTAATGGTTTATAGAACACTGCCATCCTCTGAATTGGCTTAGCTAATTTCGACCAAGGTTGGTATGCAGCATCTATGGATGAAAGAAAACAAAATAAATTGAATTTTATTCCAATATCCAAGCCTTTGGGTTAAATTTAAAAACCATCAAAATAATAAACCGAGCCCCTTTGTCACGGTAGGCGTGAATTAGCACGATAAAGATCCCTCACTGCTCAATGGCACTGAATGCCAAGTAAACTTTTATTAGCATATGCTGATATCTCTACATGAGTTAAAAATTCTCGAATAAGATTAAAGGATAATTTATTGGGTCATGTAATTTTAAGAATACATAAGCAATTGAAAAATCTTTTCTCGTGGAAATCTACGAAATATAGCAGGCAACTGTTTCTAATCCGCCACTTTGTTGCAGAATTTTCAAATTCATGTCATCTTGGTTGAGACTCGAAGTTCAAGCAAAGGTATTTATATGTACAGAGTACGTTTGAAAATATATATAACTGTTCACTTAAGAAGAAAAATGTTTGCATTTTTGAATAGGCCATGAGTACTTAACAAAATTGTGAATTGTGTGGGCTCGATCTAAAAGATAAGGTTTTGTTCATCATTAATTTAAAATTCACAAGACTTATTGTCCCCCGCTTTCACTGAAAGTGAAGGATATTAATTTGGGTCTGTCTGTCCGTCTGTAACACTTTCGTTTCCGGGCGATAACTCAAGAAGCCTTTAAAGGTGCTTGGACACAGATTTGAAGTAAATATTTGCTCAAATTTTCTGTATAATTTCATGACTTATATGTTGCTATAGCATTTCATACGAAAATTTGATAAAAATCGTATTTTATCTGGAAGCTATTGAAACTTTGAATTTCTGGACGCGTTTGATAGACACATCCTTGCACTTTCACAAATTTTAACTTTATCCTTATTACTTTAGAAAAGTAGCTATTTTGGTGTTTATTAATGAAAAACATTAAAACTGTAATGCAGAAATTTCAAAATAGAAATGTAGAAAGCAAAATCCTTTCACCAGTATTGTCAGTCATTGCTCAATGGTGTGTGCAGAGTTTAACAATTGAACACACCTGGTGAAACGTAAACATTAACAACAACAGAGCTCGTGCCCTGTTTACAAAAACAGTTTACGTTTCACGGGTGTATTCAATTTGTTAAACTCTGTACACAACTACACAACACTGATCACGAGCTGACAATACTAAGTGAGTGGGGTTTGCTTTCGCACATTTTTACTCTGAATTTTCTGGATTATAGATGTAATATTATTCATTAATACACAACAAAATTGCTACTTTTTTTAAGTATTAAGGATGAAGTTAGAAATTGTGAAAATGCAAGGATGTGTTAATCAAACGCCTCCCGAAATTCGTAGTTTCAATAATTTCCAGATTAAGTAAGTTTTTAATTTTATTTTCGTGTGAAATGCTATAATAGCAACATATAAGTTGTGATATTATACAGAAAATTTGAGAAAATATAAACTTCAAATCTGTGTCTATGCACCTTTCAGATTTTGCAATGAAATTTTAAATCACAACTCCTTATGGCCTAAAGAATACCCCTACTAATTTGAGGTAAAAAAAAAGTCAAGGTAATAATTTCACACGTTCTGTTTGTGCTTAACACTATCGATATCTCGAGAAGCCTTTGAGCTTTTGCAATAAAATTTTATACCACAATGCCCTATGGTATAAAGAAGATCCTTACTGATTATGAGGTCCAAAAGTCAAGGTCATAAATTCAGGATGAGAGCAAACACGGACCTCTAAAACATTAGAGGTGGAATCAGGTGCCACACTTTTGTTTCCGGACGATTTCTTAAAAAGCTTTTTGAGCTTTTGCAAAGAAATTTTTATACAGATCTCCCCATGGCCCCGGCACCGTTGTTATTTATTTTGTATTTTTGTTTGTTTGTTTTGTTTTGTTTTGTTGTTGTTCTTATCAATTAATTGGAAGTTCGTTGGCGAAATGGTGAAATTTTTAGAGTTACATCCGTTTGTATTAAAAGTCGCATAGGACTATTTTTAGCGCAGGAGCATGTAGAGAACAAAGAGAGCAAAGTTTATTACATGTAATAAAGGTTGTCTGTGGACGTTACACGGTAAATATTTAAGAACTGTTTAGTAAACGCTAAATTAGACACCATGGGCTCGTTTCTCAAAAAGTTGTAGATTTGGGCCTCAGTCCGACTAAGTAAGTTACGCAAAATTTTGATGGGCCTAAATCGCGTTTCAGAAAGCGACGTAAGACTGGGCCTAAGACTAAGACCTCCCCGCTAAGTACTAAGCAAGCGCAGTTCGTATTTAATTTGGTTTAGAGACTACTATACATGAGGCGGATCGATTTTATATCAAACTTAAACCTAAATACAGAACTAAAGCACGGAAAGCATTAGCGCGCGTGCATGTTTTCTCTCTTCGCCATCTTTCAAACAGACATATTACGCAAACCTATCTGTATTTTCAAGGTCAAAGCATTAAAATCAAATAACTATTTTTGTATGCTCAGATAAATTTTTAAAAATCTTTATAGGTACAAATTACATTAGAAAAACGTAATTAAACGTGCATATACAAGATTGTGATATTTCGATATACAATCGTACATAAAAACCCAAACGATGTACATAACATACGTACTTGTGAAAAATTGGATTTAAGGACGAAGAATTTTACTGTTGTAATTCTCTTTTGAAAGTAAGCCATATTGTCCTTTCACTTATGTTTTACATTAAACTAAATAACTTAGGTAATGGCAAAGGGCTGGAACAGGTTCTTAGCAACTGCTTCAAAATTGGAGAAGGGGGGGGGGGTAACCTAATTTACGGTCCAAGTCATGGAATATTATGTAAACCATATTCGACAAGCAATCTAGTATTTATTTATTTTTTTTTTTTTTTTTTTTTTTTTTTTTTTTTT